AGAAATGGATCGATGGACTGGATTTCTCGGTGGCTGTTCCATCTGCTTATTGGGTGGAGAGAACTGAGGACATGCCGTCAGAGCTGGACACCATTCCAATTTTCTCCGAAATGGTAAGAGCACATATTGTAGTATTAACCCCTTGGTTCCCAGGAATCGTACCTCCGAACCGCTAAGAGAACGTCGTAACTTACGACGTACATGTTGTCAAGGTGTTTGTATAGTCGTAGACTATCCACATGAGGCTAGGTATATAGATTTACACAGGTGAAATAAAGGCTTAGTCGTAATTTTCACAACTTCGCTAAATCCAGTTGAGATTGAACGTCGTAACTTAGAGCATTGTAGAAAACGCCGTGCAGAAGATAGTTGGACTAGGAACCCAATCAAATCAAAAATTGCGAGACAAAAGGTACGCTCGTTCAAGAATGTTTATTTTATAGCCAGCTGATCATTGCGTTTCTACAGATCGAATTCGTTCTCATCCTCGCTACGCTCATCAGCATCCCCACGCAACTCGTCGTCCGCCTCACACGCTTCTTCACGAAGGAGCTCACGGCGTGTTTTCTTGCGCACACCTGTCTTCTTTCCGGGGCGCCTGAGGACAACCCGCTTGCCCAGCGTTGGCGGGATTGCAAGTCCACACTCAAAGTCATCATGCCAAATTTGAAAGCATGTCTTCATCGTACCTCTGTACTCACGTCTTGCTTTTGGGCATAGGTAGCACTTGGCGTCGTCTATAGAGCAGTTATCCCAGTAGAATGTCGTCTGAAACGACTTCTTGTGGTCGCCACGGAGCAACACAAACTTTGCAGGATCTCTGGCGGCGTTTCTGAATTCCAGAGACTGTGACCCAGTCATCAAACTGGATTAGGGAGTGCCCGACGCGTTTTCTTCTGCGCTTCTTGCTTCCTGGTGAAGGTGTAGTCGCCACTCCGACGAAATCCTGTTCTTTCAGCTGCAGAAGCTGACTGTGGAGCACAGCGTACCATTCTCCACGTTTCATCGCCGGTGTGTTCGTCAATTTACAAGCCACCTTGTGGGAGATGTAAGAATTCACCATGACTAGATCCATGAGACCTAAGAACAGGCTCTTGTAGTATTTCGCAAAACGGAAGGACGTCTGGATTGAGAAGGTTTGGAGGCGGAGTTGGTCATGCACGTCCACTCCCCCATCCAATTCTGGTAATCGTTGACTGCCCTCGGGCACGCCACCGTCGTTGGTCCTTCCCCTTTCACGTTGCGATTGATGATGGACGCTGTCATCACGGATCCGGTACACAAGGAGTGGACCGGTTTACGGTCCCACCAGTGGAAGGCAATCATGCTTGGCACAGTGAGCGAGCGTGAAAACGTGAATGAGCCTCGGGGGATACTTCTTGGCCGGGTCTTCCGTTGCTCCACCACGTTGCGGTCATATCCAAGTCGCCCTGTCATTATTATCCCCACGACGTACACCTGCATCGATAGCAGCTCTATAGCCAACGGAAGACGAGTAGAAACGATCAATCGTGACCGCGTGAAAAGCTTGGCGGTCATTAGCGAGCACGACCTTGAGATTGCGAACCACTGCTGCAGCTCCAGTCTTATGGTCAAATGCGTCGGCCTGATCTTCGCGAGCCTTTATTTTGCCAACGTAAATCTCGAATCTCCAATGTTACGACAAAGCAAAACGAGGTCAGTCTCAATGTCGTAACTTACTGCATTCAATAAACAACAACAAAAACGAATCTCACCTGTGGCAGTACGCAGTCTTGCTGTCACATGTCATAAACATTTTTGAGCTGTACCTGTGTGGCTTATCCGGCATGAACATTCTGGTGGTGTTTCGCCTTGATGTCGCTGGTAAAACCCCCTCATCGAATGGAAATACTGCTGGCAGCGTCCAACCGGCGAGAAAACGCTCTTGTATCTTTTCAACAACTGGGCGAAGCTTTCTCAACTTGTCACGTGTCGGGTGGGCTTCATTGTCCGCAAAATGCAAGTCACGTAAAATATCTTGACATCGATTCCGAGCCATATACCTGCCAAAGGTCCCGGTGGGAACAGCGCCGTCTTCTGTCATAGACCAATGCTGAGCAAACCGACGTCGTGGTGGGCGCAACATGTGCGCTACCAGCAGACCGATCACGTGGAGAAGCTCGTGCGTTGCATAAGCTGGCTTCATTCGAAGTCGACGTCGTATTTGCTTCACTGTTTCCGTTGGCGTCCCTCGTCTCCCGGTCTGCATCGCTCGAATCCGCTCAGCTCTGGGGAGAATCTGCTGGGCGCAGTAACGATTGGTTTCTTCACAGATGTTGATCCACATAGACTTTGGAGTAAAGAAGAAGAAGGTTTCGAGCGGCGAATGACAGCGGCTCTGTAGTTCAGCGACTGGTGCCGCTTCTTCACCGGTAAGACCCGCGTATGCGTCCGCGAATTCAAAGTTTGACGAGGGCTCCGTCCAGCTCATTGTTCGGAGTACTTCTTGTCTTCTTGCGACGACTTCTCGCGTTAGTTCTGCATCGTCTCCAATACTTAGCGAAGCAAGGAATGCCTCATCCAATTCAAGTGCATCCGTGTCTGAGATGACGTCATCATCTTCGTCCATACGGCGGGGCCCTGCACGATCGTCGTCATTGTCAGAAATCACATCTCCATCGCTTTCTCCTGAGCTCAACTGCTCGTAATCACTCGGACACTCGTTCTGCTCCACACAATTCACGTCCGGCTTGAACTGGCCCGCGGGCGAAGTTTGCCTGGCTACAGGTACATCTGAATCCACACGCTCGGCTCCAAAAGCGCCTGACAAGTGCTGCAATTGACTTACCCCATTCAGTATATCCGGCTCAGAAACGTCATCTTGCGCAAGGTCAAACGCACGAGCTACTGCTCCCTGGGATAACGCCACTTCACTCGGTGTTGGAGAGCCAAACGTTGCATCCATAGTGCGTTGGGACAACTCCACACTGGTGTTGATCTTCGACGCCCGCACCAAGTCCTCAGTCATCTCTCCATCTTCATTATCTTGCTCTTCATGCTGTCCCTCATCTTCGCTGTGACTCTGGCCCTCGTCTTTGTGGCCGTTTCCGCCCGCTTCATCCTGCAATAAGCACTAGCTTTAGTCGTACTTCCCCCTTCAATATCACAAACAAACAGCTCACCTCAGCTACAAGCAATCCGGCTTCGATGACTTACGCCACTACGGCAGCCTCGCCAACGAAAATGTCGACTCCAACCGTGCCATCTGCCGAAGCTCCAGGCTTCATATACTTCCAGTCGGTCTCGAGGCCTTTGGGACGTCTGGAATCCCATCCCGCCTCTCGTAGTTGCCTCCAGAGATGGCGAAAGTCGACGTCGTGTGGAGTTGGGGCAGGTTTCTGGCGTCCAGTAGATCTGATGCGCGCCATCGGGGATATTCTGGAATGATGAATGATCAGTTGCGAAACGGAAGCCACACCTTTACAAAACCTAACCCTGTCTGATTTCTGCAATTGCCCGTGTGACCTCTAGCAGCTTATTCTTTGGGCAAGAAAAAAGTGACTTCATTAAAGTATTGACTTTCTTTTTCCGAGCCATTTTCTATTGTTCGACGATTTTTCGTCGTAACTTACGACGAACGATTTCGCAAGGTCGTAAGTTACTACGTTGGGAACCAAGGGGTTAATAGTAAGCTGAAGACATGAGGTTGCAACAAATACTATCTATGTTTGTCGATCAGATTCATATTCTTGATTTCGTTGCCACAAATCAGCTGAGTGACACTGTCTTGATGGAAGCAATGTCCAAACTGTTTGGTCCCCGGCAAGACGTTACCGTAGTTGACCCATTAATATGGGACGTCGTGGAGAGGGCAACTCGCTGTGCCAACTGAACAGCTGAGAAGCTTATTTACCGGAATCTTTGACCAAAAAATGCTGTTTCCTGTAAATTGCAGTGGTACACACTGGTGTGAACTCATGGTTTGAAAGGAAGGAAGTCAAGATTTATGAATGCAGGCTAGCTACACTACGACTCTTCGAGCATTGGCACATCAATTAGTGCCGCATCTTCCACCATTGGAGGGCGCTACAGAGTTGACGGACACGTTTCTGAGATGGGAGTGCAAATCGATAGCTACAATTGCGGAGTCTACGTCCTACTTGCGTTCAAAATGTATTGCGGCGCGGAAATTGCCGGAGAATTGAGCAAAAAGACGCTGCTATACCTGGGCTACCGCTATATGAAGATGTGTTTGTGATTCTAATGGGTCAATATATTCCCTATTCACGTTGTTGCATAGTGCTAGATGTCTTTCACCACTGCTAAGGAACCGTCGAATAGAGCAACCCATGGTTGTAGTGATGTATGTCAGCAGAATTCACTAAATTTGGCATCCGGAATATACAATATATACGCACCATACCGTAAAAATTCCCACCGAGTCGGACCGATTCCAACCGGAACCGGTTTTGCAAAAATTCACTTTTGTGACATAATGAACTTAAATAGTGACTTGTGGACAGTTGAGGGTGGCTGGACCTGGAAGTCGTTGTTGCTGGTATCGGTGGTCATTGTTGCTGGGCGTCTCGCTGGTCGTTGGTGCTAGCCTCGCTGGTCGTTGTTGCTCGTATCGGTGGTCATTGTTGCTGGGCGTCTCGCTGGTCGTTGTTCGTTGGTGCTAGCCTCGC